CAAACGTCGGCGTTGAATATTGTTCAAGAAGGTGGTACACATAGTTACCACTGGAATTTAAAGGGTTAAAATCGTTATCGTTCGTCAGAAATATTCTACGATTTGGTAAATAAGGTATGTGAAGAGATAAATGTTCCAAAATTATCACGTCTTAACTGAGATAACTATATATCATAACAGGTATGAACAAACAAACGAATAGACCTTTAGAAACTGGCGTATGATATCGAACTAAAATCTCCTGATGCCAGTCAATACATGACGGTGCATAATACGACTGCAGGTAAAGCCAAATCGAATTCCATACGAAGGGAACCAAACTAATCCGATCAGATTCACGATCCGGCCATCTTTACTTCCGCGGAATCAGATAAACAGGAACAAGGCACACGAACCAGGGCTTCCGTCATTATTCAATTTAAAACACATCACAAATTGTTAACAAAAGTCAAGGTCACGTTCAGCGACTGAAAAGGTGACGAACTTTGTTTAACAATGATGTATCAAGTACAGTGACTATGTAGAATCAAATTACGAAAGATTACACTGAGCAATGGACCTGAAGTTGAGATGTCTGTAAGAGAATAATTTTGGGAAAAGCTCACAAAGCCAGCGTAGACGATCCCCTGACCAAGATACGAGGCAGGCACCTGGCAAAAACCAAGCAAATCCCTACAACTAAGGCCACATTACAAACCATACCTTAGTTCCGTCCTGTCCAACTACATACCGCTTATTTAAAACAATTTCCGAACGTCAGACAAGCTACAAAAGCTAATTTCCTCCATAAACCAGAGAAACTTAAAAAGACAGGACCTATAAATGCTTGCCGGGTTGTTTAACGACGTAGTTAAAATGCCAGGGTTTAGGTAATAAGAGGGGTGAATGAGAAGATTGTGAAGTCAGCTGTCTTGTGTGACGATGCGCCATGTTTATTCTGAGAATCATACAAACATTCTGTGGGCAGAATCCAAAGTTACGGGAGGTATATATAGTTACCACTGTGCTTAAAGGGTTAAAAATCGGGCGTAAAAGGTCACTTACCACATTCACAGAGATCGGGCGATGTCCAAACACACGACACTTAAAATACAATCCACAAAACTTCCAAAGTTTCCACTAACGTAGAGACAGCGACATCTGGTTCACGTGCCAGTTAAAACAGCAGGAGGTTCTACACAAGAGAAAACCGCAAATTCTCTGTTCGCGTACAGCAACCACTGACTCACTTTTACAATACCAATTTCAAAAGCAATTACCACTTTTGACAGTCGCGTATCACATCTGTTTATTTATTACACACGAAACATTTTTTATCCGATCTCTCCCACACATGTACACGCCTTCCTTCGTCTGCACAGACGATGCTATTTAACGAAATGGTCTGCTCTTGTGCGCCATTATTTAAGAAATTGGGGGGGGGGGGAATAGTTTGGCAACCGCTGGCCTTGTGGGGAACTGTACCCACGTCTTAAAAAAAAGGTGAAACCAATTAAACAAACAGCACCTGATGTCAAGTCCGGGGCCGAAGCTGCTTCGCGAATTTTCTAACACTCAAAAAGAACACGAATCACCATGGAAACATTTCACAACATAACCCGAGCCTGTACTGGCTACTACTGTGTGTCCTGTGCAGCGATGCAAGACAGAGAGGCAAACCAACGACCAAGAAGAAAGGAACAAGGAAGTTTCCACAACACGAAACATCCTGCAGTAATCTGCGGCCCGCAATTACGACTTTCCTTTTACGTGCAGAAATCGTTCATAGGCCCGAATCGAACACGATACCCTCTGAATATTTAACCTGAAGACAACTTCTCTTCTAGAAACGTCAGTCAATTTCTAGCAAATTACACGACAAAATATCCCTAAAGACATACTTGTCGCCCTGAGACCCTCAAATCCTACCTGTCCGTACCGCAAAGAAAACACTACACTTCACCATTACAAAGATCAACTGGTTAACCTTGTTTAAGGAAATAATACGACTAAAACGCTAATTAACCTTTGGAGCCGAAGCTCTTTCAAATGAAACTTGAGAATTCAGTCCGTACCGCGAAGAAAACACCGGACTTCACCATTGCAAAGATCAACTGGTTAACCTTGTTTAAGGAAATAATACGACTAAAACGCTAATTAACCTTTGGAGCCGAAGCTCTTTCAAATGAAACTTACGAATTCAGTCCGTACCGCGAAGAAAACACTACACTTCACCATTGCAAAGATCAACTGGTTAACCTTGTTTAAGGAAATAATACGACTAAAACGCTAATTAACCTTTGGAGCTGAAGCTCTTTCAAATGAAACTTAAGAATTCAGTCCGTACCGCGAAGAAAACACTACACTTCACCATTAAAAAGACCAACTGGTTAACCTTGTTTAAGGAAATAATACGACTAAAACGCTAATTAACCTTTGGAGCCGAAGCTCTTTCAAATGAAACTTAAGAATTCAGTCCTTACCGCAAAGAAAACACTACACTTCACCATTAAAAAGACCAACTGGTTAACGCTGTTTAAGGAAATAATCGATGTTTACTGTGAAAATCGTACGAAACCAATAAATGCATTCTGTGAGCAGAATCCAGAGTTACTGAGTATTAAAGTAAGTGGTATACATAATTACCACTGGGTTTTAAAGGGTAATCATTACCTATGTATTTTTAAGAACTGACTGCCACACTGAATTGCTGCAAAATCAAACAACTGATTTGGACATCATCAGGCGTGCTTTCATGATTTGTAAATTGATATTTTTCAGAAACTGACAATCTGATCACAAGATGAAACGGCAGAACTGGAATTACGAGGTGTCAAGGCGCACATAATAACTGCTCCTCCATTACGATGATGGATTACTATGATAAGCAAACCCAAACATAACTTTCCCCAAGTAGCATTCGACGTTTTCCACAGCGATGAGTCCGAAGATGGATGTCTTGTGGACTGTAACGCCCTGCAGTCTGGTATAAGTTTACCAACGTCCGACATCAGGTGTATAAGCCATCGTCCTGATGATGGAGGCAGCAAGTACCTTTGAAAGTTGGTAAATGTCTACCATACTACAGGGAGCTACAACCCTGAAGACACGCCATCTTCATAATTTCCTTAAACACGAGGCGTGCTTCACAGCATGTGCAAACGCATAACGCTGAATTAAACAGCCTCGTATGAGAATGAGAAATCCTGCCTTAAACTGCGAGTGCATTGTAAAACAATGTTTATGATGCCAGTTGATTAACCAACGAAAACATCAAACGATAAAACCGACCTGACACTAAACTGTTGATGGCGAGACAACGCACTGCAGGGAAACACAATTAAAAGGTCAGACGAGGAGCTGTGTAGCGCTGGCGGAATTAACCTTTTCCACCCTGAATGTAGAGTAAAATAAAAGTTTTCTTACTCTATACTTTCATGGCAGCAAAATTCCTACTGTTTAAAAGCCGCAAGAGACGAGAGCCTGCAGCTGATGACTCTGATTGACCTTGTAAGTCACCAAATAAACAACGACAAGAAAAGTAAACATTTTTAAGATAAATTTATCATGAAAAGCACGGAAAGGATTAAATAATCTTTGTAGGATTTGAGGTTTTTGCAGCGGTGAGTCTGAAGATGGCCATCTTCTGGTATAAGTTTAATTACGCTTCAGAGGTCCTTGCTGCCTCCATCATCAGGGCGATTAACCCTGATGATGGAGGCAGTAAGGGAGGGAGGGAGGGAAGGAAAGGAAAGAGAATGGAAGGAAGAAAGAGACACACACAAAAGACTCCATCCCATAAAAGTGGGACTGGAACAGACTAACATTTAATTTTCTTACATCCTGAAGTACATACAGGGTCCAGCAGGATAGAATGAATATTTTCATGTGTAAATATATTCTGTTCGAGCGAATAATATAAACTGGCACATTGACATATAACAGCAATTTTGCAAATTAAGTTTGATACATATACTGTTAAATTTCTTAAAAAAACAGTACTGTAAATTTCCCCCCGGCATGCAGTGACGAACTCTTGCGGGCGCTAAGTGAAATTATCCATCACACATTGTAACAGGTCATGAATCACCTCTCTGATATCAGCCTTGAGTTCATCCGAAGTGGCGGGCCATCTCGACTCTTCAGATAACTTCACTAAAACAACAGAGGGCTGTGAAATCATCAGACCTTGATGCAAATTATCCATATCCATTTGTTCATTGTGTGACGTGGTGCGATCTTCATGCAACCACATTGCTGCACGTGTGTTCCCAACCAGACCCTCATGCTTCTTCTACGTACCTATCCATTTCTTGCATTTTGTATACTACTCAACAAGAAAATGCCAGTCTTCTCTGCCACAACCTGTATTTTAATTTTGCCAGGCTTTGAAATCATTTCTCACATCAATAAGCATAAAGCTTCATGATCTATTGGCTCTGCTAGGCATCACTGCAGTCTCTACGTAAATTACATACCAGTTTATGTATGAAAATGTATTAGTCACATCAGATCTCTAGCAACACTGCAAAGAATTTCAAGTTTCTTCTGAAAACATGGTTAATATTCTATTTTACACATGTAACAAGGTTCCCCACAGTCACCATAACTGTGCTAAGTAACAGGATACACAATACAATATCGTTCAATGCATGTTATGAAAATACAAAATTATACTACATCTGGAATCTCAAATGTCAAGAGAATGCGAGATTTGAACTAATTTCAAAGAAATAATTCCTCAATTTCGTGGCTCAGAATGAAACTAATCCATGTACCATCACACACATACATGTTTAAATAAACTCTAGTTAATTCCAGAATTAATGGCAAACCCAGAGCTGACATAAAACATCATATCAAGAACTAGAAGGAGTGGTCAACTTCTGACATTAAGTTTGGACTCATATTTTACATATTTGCAGTTACTTCCTTATGCTGCATCACAAAAGACTGAACAGTGACTAATACACCCTAGAAGCACAAATGAGAAAGAATACTTAATACTATTGTGTACTTACTGCTCTACTCGCTCTTCCATAACTATTTCAGCAGACACCATACGGACGTCGGTCCATTGATCAGTTGGTCATTAGAACACCTGCAGTAAATAGTTGTTTTGTAGTTAGTCTTCAAATTGTGTATATCAACTATATAACGAATTCAACTATACGAAGCTACAGTTACTAGTCACATAAACACAAATATTCCAGACTTTTAACGCATGATGTCATTGATAAAATGGCGAGCGAACACCAACTCCGTTCAAACAATTTTATTCGTGTGTACAATACAAGTCTTAAATTTATAGGGTTATATTATATCTGCAACAACGCGTATACAAACGCATACATATTTCAAGTACACAATAATTACGATTTCGTTTAGACAAATGCAAAAGCTTACCTGACAAGCAGGTCGTCTGGCCTTGATCACTATTCACTACTTGAATGCCACCTATTGATAAAATATGAAACTGAACAAAGATGTCTGCTTTCGGTTGGTTCTCCTAGCTTTACAATTCAAGAATTATCAACATGTCCTCGCCCTTTATTCGTTTGCTGCAGCATTTCATTGCACCGAGGAATGGGAAAAACAACCCCGTTACATCGGACTGCCAATTTTTCAAGGCTGGATATTTCCTCCCAACCACAAAT